AAACATATTGTCCCAGCGATCGAGTCTTCTTCTTCTCAATTGCTTCCTTGGATACGGATGTTCGCTTGTATTGGCAAACTGTGTGTTTTTAAGTTAGCAGCCTCCACATCCAAGGACTTAACTTAACGTGATTGATATGGGCGCGTAAAATAGTTCATAATTTCAAACAGACACACACTGGGCTCTCTGCGTAGATCGAGTTATACCCATAGTTCACAGCCTCCCAAGCCGCGGCTATTAGTGCAATCTGTTTGACTTTAGGGCTTCTGATTGTTTGTAATTATGTGTATGCAGTAGGGGTAGACCTCGCTCCCTCTTTCTTCCCTCATCGGCATTCCGAGGCAATCTATCGACTGCAAGTGAGAGAGGACTCATGAAGTTAGGACCTTCCCCTGCGGGAATTGCATATTAGACGAGTTGATTGAAGACATAAAGGATTCTTTTATAGTTCAGGAGACAGACCATATGTTCTCGTCTTGGGGATTTATTCCAACGAAGGGCGTTTTGCTAACTTCCCCTCCTTCGGGAATAATTACTCGATTAATCTGTTCAACGTGAATAATACAGCAACTATTCTGTGAAAAAATTATATCTCTCTTAACCTTCGTGAATTTCCCAAAAGATACGTATATTATTTATGCAAAGATGCAGGGCAAGCGTGTACTTTATCAACCTATTGTACTGCCCGATGAGGTACGTGATACCGACACTGTGTTTACGTAGACAGGTTTTTGCAAAGGAAAAACACAATACTGACTTTCATCGCTGCGACTGGAGGCAGTTAGAAAAAAAGTCAGTAGGGATTTCTTGTGGGGCCGCCTTGGGAACGTGGGAAGCGCGCCCCTCAGGCTCACGGGCACCTGATTTTAGGGGAGAGAACGGGCAGGGCATGTCAGGGAACAAATTAGATCGCAATACTTCTGTAAAATAAAAAGTTACGAGGACAAGTTGAGTCGTGTACTCAAACCTTGGCAGAAGACACTGAAATAGACTTCAAGATCATCGCTTCCCCCCGCCCGACCAACGGTGAACACGTGTTTATAGGGGGAGTGTGCCCTAAACTCGGGCGAGGTCATTGAGGTAAATTTTTTTAGTGGAACAACCAACAAAAACTGGAGAAAAAGGTTAACGAAGTACAAAAGTGGCAAGTTTGTGGAAATCACCGTACTTAAAATTTTTAAGTAAGCGGTTATTCCTGTGATTAATTAAAAATGCTAATTTCGTTTAGTATACTGACTTAAGCCCTTATGGTCAATGCCATTATCAAATCCCTGCTGGATCGACGGATGGCATGTAGGAAATTGGAAGATTATGGGTAACTCAACCTACTTAAAACATTTAAATAGGTGGCTATAATACATAAGGACCTTTCGAAGACACCACTTGGTTACCCTACCCAAAAGTCTATTGACGTCCTAATATTGTATTTTAGAATCTGACATGTAGCCGACAGATGGTTATGAGCCTACGGGGATAGTTAAGCTAGAGGTGTGTTGAAGTGGACGGGAGGGTGTGTGCGGATAAGCACGTAGGATTAACGGGACCCAGGGGATGAAACAGGACAGAACTCCAAGGAAAACCGGTATGAGAAACGTTAACCGTACAAGCAGAAGTAACCACTTTGAGTTTGCACTTGCAGTTTGGTAAGGATTTCATGCAAAACAGTCAACTTTTCATGAGAATGCTTCTACCGTGCAAACCCCACGGCCCCGCAAATTATACTGTGTTAAGGGAACCACAAATCTTAAAAAGAAGGCATATTTTGGTCTACAAAGTCTCGTTTATTGGCTGAGAACTAATTTATGTTATCAAAACCCGTCAAATAAAAAGGACTCTACGGCAGTTCGATTATTTAAGGCCTTATATAAGTGACACTGGTGTACGAAAATTAGGTAAAAGGACAATATAATGAAAAGTATTAAAGATGTAACATAATAATCTTTTGTTGATTGTCTTTTATCGTGTAAAGCGGCAATGGATCAGGAGAGCATTGAGACAGCAAAGTTCTCAATGATGGTTTCTCCTGTAAATTTATTAAAAACAACCTCTGCTCCACTGTACTACAATTTGCTGGCTTGTCCCCGTGTCGCCTGATCAACGCAATGAGGTTTTCAGTGGGATTCAGATTTGGACTGTTCGCAGGAACAAAACTGGTTCCCAGGTCGCAGGCTTTAGTCTATATTACATTCGTAATGAAAATTGCAATCATACCCCCTTTGATCGGAAACCGTGTCGTTATCTTGCAGCATTACAGTAAACATTCGATGTCCCTTAATTTCATTATAACCGAATGTATCCTTTCGGACGACGATAAACCCCCTTTTTTCTACTTAAAAATGGCGTCCTCATAGCCGTCTGCTGATTAAGTTAGAATTACTGCATTTGCAAATGTTTCCTGTGAGTAGTCCCAACCGGAATATAATGGTATCTGTTTGTGTTTGATGAAAAATACCGTGATGCTGTTTGGTTGTGTACCCTTTTTGCCACCGGATACCGGAATTAACGCCGCCCACGCAATGTTTGCGACGCAGTCGACGCGTAAAGCCTATTCATAGCTGCGCTTTCAAGTTCAGACTCGTACTCGAAATTGGACACGAGCCAATATGCAGTCATAAACTCGAACAAATTTAGACAGTGAAGTCCACACGCGGTTCTAATCATACCCACCCACCCACACATACAAAGGAAGAAATATATAAGCAATGTAACAGTCAACGTGCACACAGACCGAGACAGCGCCTGAAATATGAGGAGCTGCTCCTTACTAATGCTGCTGATTGTGGCTGCGCAGGTCCTCGCATGTCAAGCGTCACCGGCCTACCAGCATTTACAAGTGGACGATTCGAAGGACCTGAGTAGTGAGGACCTAAAATGGGCCAAAGAGGAAAAAGAGGAGGAGACGGCGAGTTTCAAGAACGACGACGAGGAGCTGACGACCGTGAAAATTAAAGAGATTCTGGCTCCCACGATCTGGAAACATCTCCGATGCCGAACTGTTTGTCCTTTCGGTCGTTGCAGATTTGTTTGTGGGTTTTATTAATTTGAACAAATACCCAATTAACATATCATTAAAACTACAAGGTCGTTTCTTCATTATGCATTAGTTGACCTCTGGGCAGGCAATAATGCCGATCTGTGGTAATTCCGGCTGCATGGGTTGTAATCAGTTTAAGGTCAGTTCTCTTAATAAGCAGAAAACGCAAGGAATTATCCTAGCAATGCAAAATGCGCAAGAAATAGTATTCATTATAAAAACGTAGATACATTTTTTCCACATAACAGGACAAGTTAGGTTTCTATGCTGAACAAATAGAGCGGCTTTGTTACAAAAGATTCTAATGATATGGAACCAACCTCGCTATTTAAGTTTTGAAGTTCCATCTTAGACGTGCAAATTCACTATTTGTGTTGAGCCTTCGCTGAATAAATGGTCAAAAGTTTAAACGTTCACCGTAGGCGAAACGGTATTTACAATTTAAACTTGAGAGCTACTTGACAGGAATTTATGAGGCAGTGTTATATTGTGTAGCTCCAATAAAAATAATCGACTCTTGGACGCCTGTTATACCATAAGAAAGGTAATGAGGGTCGTGTGTGTGTCAATGTGGATAATAAAAACACCACGAGGAAGAAATGTCAGCATAGAAAATTAACTAGGATACTTTTTATAGAATATACCAACATCCAGTGAACACTAGAGAAGCTTATTAAAAATATCGCGTTTATCATCTCCCGAAGGTAAGGAAAAAGAAGAAGAGGGAGCGGGTTCATTGACCAAATTACATTTGAACTGACGTGTCGAAAACCTTCTCGCTTCCATCTTCAGAGTGCGTTTAGTGGTTGTGAGACGGGAAACAGTGCCCGAGAAAAATCGATCAGGAAAACAAAATAATAATATAGTACAGTTGTCGGCGGTTATTAAGCCCACCTTGGGCCCAGACCAAATGGGGCTTAATAAGCGGCGGGCGCGCTAACCGGCGAGTCCTAGTTCTTGATTAGCAAACACAGTATAGGCACTACAAATTACATACGTACTGTATTATGTGTAGAGCTTGGTTATGTGGAAGAAAAGAA